GCCCGCTCTGCATCCACCGTCCTCCGATAACTGAACGTTAACGTTAAAGGGTTAGTTCACCCAAAAATGAAAATTAAGTCATTAATTACTCACCCCCATGCTGTACCAACCCCGTAAGACCTTCGTTCGTCTTCGGAACACAAATGAAGATATTTTTGATTAAATTTGAGAGCTGTATAACTACCACATTGGCTCCTAAGGGACTGCCTCTTGACGGCCCAGAAAGTCAATGAAGAAAATGTTTTAAAATCCCAAGTGACTACCGTGGCTCAACTATATGTTTATCAAGCGACGCGAATACTTTTTTGTGCGAAAAAACAAACAAAAATAACGAGTTTATTCGACTATTTCTTTTCTCCTTGTAGGCCAGAACGAGACTTCCTTAGATTTCCACGACGCATGCGCGAGAATTGCGATCTGAAGTAGTGTAAGCTGGTGTGAGCAGATCGCAATTCTCGCGCATGCGTCGTGGAAATCTAAGGAAGTCTCGTTCTGGCCTACAAGGAAGAAAAGAAATAGTCGAATAAACTCGTTATTTTTGTTTGTTTTTTCGCACAAAAAGTATTCGCGTTGCTTGATTTACTCTATTCACTCCATGACAAAACTACCCCAGTCATTCTAGAATGATTCATTCTTTCCAAATAGAGCTAGGCCTATTCAAGTAATCTGGTGGTTGTTTTTATATCACAATATATATCGCAGAAAAATAAAATATCACAATGTCATTTTTTACCAATATCGTGCAGCCCTAATCCTCGTTATGTGTTTTCTATAGAGGGATATCGACTAGAGGTCGACCGATATTGGATTTTACCGATAACGATAGCTAGGTTGGGCTGTACTTGCCGATAACCGATTAATCAACCGATAGTTTTTAAAATTGATACTGGATAAAAACAAACATAACACTCCATGTAAAACAGTGCTGAACTTTATTATAAAAATACAAAAAACTGGCATAAAAGGCATTCTTTCAAACAAACAAAAAACAATACTCTAAATAACAAATTAAACGTTCCAAATGTAACGGTTTAACTGTTCTTTTTCAAGCCAACCTAATGAATAAAAAAAGACGTTTCAAATAATAACCAAATTTGCCATCTGAAAATAATTTAAACATTAAAATATGTCAAATGTGTGTTTCTTTAGCTATACCATGTTGCAAGTCCAATTTGTTAACAATGATTTATTAGCTAGTTTACATGAACTATGTGCATGTTTACAGCATTATTATTTGAGCAATACAATTTCACCTTGATCATTCATGTTAGTTCATAGAGTTTTAACTATGGTTAACAAATAAAAACCTTAATTTAAAAATGTAGTATGTTAATTAACACACAATGAACAGCAGTTAATAACCTTAGTTAATGTTAATTAATGTGTTAACCAGCGACTGGCAAGTTCGGGGCTTTATTACTGTCGGTGGTTCGGGGGGCTCTGTCTATTATTGGTCCAACCTAATAAAAACGTCAACGGTCCGTGAAGCATAGCCTATATGAGTTGCGTATTTTAGTTCCACTTTCATTTTGTTTGTATTCGCTGCTAGGTAACGTGTCGATAGATCGCTTATTGCTCAGACGCACATCAGGTTGTGATATTTGTCTCCGTCTCTCATGTTCCCACAGACGTTTAATCGCGCTATTCTTGTCACGGATTCAGTGACGCGTCCCTTCCACGCTTACCATGCGTTTAACGTGTGGCAAATTTACCGGTCGCACATTTACCGGTTACACTCTCAAATTTTAGTCGCAAAATGCGACTATTTGGTCGCAGTCTTTAATAAAAATAAATATGTATTAAAGTGATGGTGAAAAAAGAACCGAAATCGAATGCTTCTCTGATTCGTTTGTTTTTGTCGGCTGTATGAACATCAGTTTGCTATCATGCGTCTCGAGCTTATATGCAACGTCGCTGCATAATGAATGCATTACAGTCACCAGCTGGATATAAACTAATGTATAAACTAATTTAATCAAGGACCTAAAAACCCGTATATAAAAATATTTAAATCATGTTTTTTTTTTTTTTTTTATTAAGTACTCGGTATCGGTATCGGCGAGTACTGAAATGCAAGTACTCGTACTCGTTTTCCAAAAAAGTGGTATCGGTGCATCCCTACTTTTCACGACTTCAAAGACAGACGCACGTAATCACACGCGCTTTGCTGATCTCTCTCATTCACTGTGTAAAGCGTCTGTAGGCTACACATCATCACCAGTCTTGTCATTACATTATGTACTTGTTTAACATTCAATACACATGCATGAAGTTCAAAACAAGAAGGGCATAGCCTTATAAAAAAATATATAGTTGGAGCACACTAAACAACCCAAAAGCAGCAGCCTACACTGCCTAGTTTAGTTTAATAATTTGCATAGTTATAATTGTTTTTTGGTGTTCAGATTTTATACGTTTTTCCAAATGTTATTTAATAAAAATACCGGTATATTTTTTTCCTCTCAGTATCTATTTTTCATCCCAAGCCCCGCCCCCGTGATCGAATCGCGATACGAATCGAATCGTGGGTCAAAAATCGTGATACGAACCGAATCGTGGGTTTGGTGTATTGTTACAGCCCTGCGTGAGTGTGCGTGTGAGCCATCTGACAGCCCTACATGAGCGTGTGTGTGTGTGTGTGTATTTCAGGTGTGGGACGCGGGCACCGGGGCGCTGCTGCAGAAGATGCCTGCGGATCTCCCTGTGCTGGACATCTGCCCGTTCCAGGCCCAGCAGAGCAGCTTCCTGGCCTCGCTCACCGAGAAGATGCTCAAGGTCTACAAGTGGGAGTGAGACCCACAGAACCAGAACCGAGTCCGACGGGACCACGCCTTCTGTTTAAATCAGTGCTTTCTCAATGTTTCAGTTCAAAGTCATCATTGCTCACTATTTTCTTTGTATATATGTAAGTGTTTTTGTATTTCTTTATTAAAATAATAAATGCAAACGTGCTTTGACAGTTTGTGAGAACTTAAAAACACCCAAGGGAAGGGAACATTAATATAGTTTGGAAAATCACTCGGTGTATTTCCAGGTGCGTTATTTATTTATTTATTTTTAGTTTTAAAATTTTCTTAAAATATAAGCATCCCCATTCTTTCACCAGTTTATTCATCTCAGTACATTAATACAGTTGTTTTTATTACAAGTTTTCTGAAATGTTATGTTTAAAAATGCATATTATGTTATCTAATTAAATATGCACTAATTTGCATACATTCCATAGTAGAAATGAACATCGGACGAAGCCAGGTTCAGAATTCTAATTATATTAACTTATTTGAAAGTTTTTACAGTGGGATTTCTTTTTATGTGCTTTTAATCACTTCATAAATCAGGAAGGAAAAAAAAACATTTCCGCTGTTTTTAGGAATAAAATTGCCTATAAAGCAGGCGAATGATGCATGAACAAGATATTAATAAAACTAAAGTTTCCTGTAGAAAGTATGGTGTCTTCCTCTAGGGGGCGAATTCTCCCTTCAAACAAATTCATTTTGATTCAAGATTCATTTGCTCTATAAAATACATATTTCAATGTTGTTAACAGAAATATTGCCTGACATAAAATGAAAATCCAAAACAAGACTTACGATACATTTATTTAAAATAAACATTTCCCAGTAATCAGAAACGATTGTGATTGGCCCATCCTCATCAACGCTGAGAAGAGCAACACGCACCAGCTGACCACACCATCCAGCAACAGCAATCGCGTCCTGGCCAAAGTTTACATCTGAATAATGCCACCAATAACCGTATAGTTGTTTGATTGAGAGTACATTACACGGTATAAGTTGAAATTGAATTAATAAAATACTTAGACTCATTGTACCTGACCAGTTAAATACAAGTTCGGGTTATCCAAGCCCCGCCCACTTTCCGAACTGCCAATTTCCTCCATTATCTTCCTTTTATTTATTCATTATTATTAATGCACAATGAACCAGAAAAATACGAGACATATTCATTCAAAGCGAATAAAGTAAAAATAAAAACAGAGCCAGAGGACGGGAAAAAGTGTGCTACTTTATACAACGGCATATATGCTAACAAGGCTATAAGCTCTAATTTCCTTTTTACTTGAGCAATTACACAAAACAGAACAATAAAGCTTGAAATCATGATCCGCAATTCAGTATTTATTTCCACAGAGAACTAGCGAATCATACTACAGCGACGGATTTCTCTCATGGATATTAAGAAGCCTACGCCACGACGTCGGCGCGTGCTGATTAATATTCATGAGCGCGCTCTTCGGCGTAGTAGGATTGGTAACTCAGCTGAGGAAGATGGCGGCGTGTGGACGTGTTCTGCGGCTCCTGCTGGTGCTCTTCATCTCCGGCTCGATCTGCTCTGCTCGGGAGGGCAAACCAGCGCTCGGAGACGGCGATATCCCCGCGGGCATCAGCGAGAGAGCCCGGAACCCCGCGGGGGATGCGAAGGCCGCGGACGGTCCGCAGGCGGGCCGCAGGAGCTCAGGCTGGAGGCTGGCGGAGGAGGAGGCCTGTCGGGAGGACGTGAGCAGGATCTGCCCCAAACACTCCTGGAACAACAACCTGGCCGTGCTCGAGTGCCTGCAGGACCGCAAAGACGTAAGGACATGTTTATACACGCAGCGTCTGCGATTTAAAGCGCGTATAACGCACCACCACCAGTCTAATAGTGCGTAACGTTACAACAACACACATCTGGACCTGCAGCGTCTTCCTGCGACACTCAGAAGTTGTAGATCACACACCGTCTATAGATGTCGACGGCAGCAGGGCTGGCGTGAGAACAAATAGCAGATATTTAGTAACTAGACGGCTTTTTGTCAAGAAAGGGCCTCTAATTATCACGTACATGCAGGTTTGGGGCTGTTCAATGTTTTAAATCTGGTTATCGTGATTTAATATAGATGGGAAATGTGTTTTCTGTTTATGCCTGTGCTTTAAACCGTTAAAAGCTGTGTTTTGCAGCTCGCCGATACGCCAGATATGCGGCGTGACGTCAGCACGTGCACTCCGATGACTTTTTTTTTTATGACTAATAATAAATACCGATAACTAGCGATGGGGAAATATCTAAAGCTAGCAAATTATATGAGTGGAATGACTTCTGCTAAAGTTGGCATGAAATCAATACATATCAATGTGTTTAAAATTGAATTAAAATCGATATATTTTGAACGTTTGATCCTACAAAATGGTGCACTTTGAGAGCTCCGAATTAAGAGTTTTAACTCCTTTACAGTGCAAAATGATCAAAGAAAATGCATTGACTTGTACCTGGACTTTAAAGCGGTTAAAACATCTTTTAGTCTCAGTGGCAATAACCATTTATTGTAATATAAATGAACTATTTTTTACTTTACTGTGTAAGGAAATGAATAATTTTTTTCCTGATTTATTTACTTGCAGAAGATAACTCCTTGAGCTTTTATTTAGGAGAAATTTTGGCACTTATTGGCAAAATAAAACGTTAGAGACCTTTGTTTGGCTATAAGTTTTACATTTTGGATTCATTATGAAACAGTGGCACAAAATGGGAAAGACTGAATGAATATCTGATAAATGTGCTGAAGTTGAGTATTATTACCCCCTCTCCGACCCTGTTATTGCTTTGGGGATAATCCGACACACACACACACACACACTCGTCACAGTACAGCAGAATCGGTTGATTGCGCCCCTCGATGGCACCACAGATGCCCATCATCTCAGAGTGACTGGTCTGGTGTCTTGCCCATCGTTTTCCCAATATTGTAACTCGTATGTTATTTATTTTACTCGTGTGTGTTCTGTTGTGGAGATTCCTTTAGTTGTTCGACTTGACTGACTTGCTTTAGGACTTCTTCACACAAATATGAATCCTGCTGACTGTTTGTCAAAGATTAGACGTTGTTGAAACCGCACTGATGTGGAGTCGCGGCACGAACACAAACGCCATGTGTAATAATGATTCTGAAGTGTGTGTGCTGTTCACTGGCAGTGTTTGGTCAGATCTGTGTGTGTGATTTGGGTCGGGTCATTACTGATTACACACACGCAACACTTTCACTCATTAGAACATGTGTTGATCAGCTCTTATTGTGTGTTGAGTCTCTAGACCGTCTCTTGTTGTAGAGTCCGTGTCAGTGTGAGCTGTACTATAAGGCCAATCGCTCAGTCGGACACAGTTCCTCATTGTTATTAATAAAGCCACTTTGTTTACTTGATGATTGATGGTCTTCCGGAGGCTAAAGGCCCTGTAGCTTCTGTAAAAATACAGTTTTCTGAACCGAAAGCCTGACCCAGCTGAGCTCTGACTGGACTGTGGGCTTCTCTCCCTCATGTCTCGCTGTGGTCATGCAGGGTTATAAACGTGAGCGCTTGTGTTCTTTTCACTTGAGTTAGAGATTACAGATGCAGGAGATTGTTTAGAGACGTTCTGTATTTCAAAGGCTTTCAGCCACGATAAACCCTGCTGAAGGACGACTCTGGGGCGAGCGGGTTTCTCTCTTTGATTGGATTTGGAGGCTGTTTTTAGTAACATTGACCCTGAGAACGAGGAGTTAGACATCCTGATCAAGGCCTTCACGGATCATGTGTCTGTGACTCTGTGAGTGTGTTCACACCAGACGGCAGCATTATAATCTGAGAACTGAAGCCTACCCGGAAGTGCAAAAACTGCAATCGGGAATCCGCTAGAGGAGGTCCCAAAAGGAGCAAATACCCACAGACCCCGTGTTAAAATACCCTGTGTTTCACAGCATAAATTCATGTTTTTACAGGTGCGTCCCATAGACTTTTATTGTATTTTTCTATCCACAAGTTTGTGGGTGGGTGAAAGTGGGTGAAACTTCCGGTGAGGCGGCGGGAGTAGCGTTCCAATGGTGTTTTGTGTGTTAGTTAGCGAAGAGGCTAGCTGTTTTTCAGAGAATTATTTTACTATTTAAAGACGCAAATCTTCATGAGAGATGTCGTTACGGAGCTCAGGGACAACATGTGCTGTTCGCGGTTGTATGTATAACCGGACTCAACTAATTCAGTGGCTTAAACGTGATTGTTTTGAACATAAGCTGAAAACGAAATCAGAGTGATCCTGCCAACGACTGTAGTTTCCATCACCTCCCAAAAGACGACGAATCTTCCTGTGTACATTTGTTTAAATTCTTAATATTCTATAAACTCTCTCAGCATGTGATTGGCTGTTCGCTACTGATGTTACACCTAAACTCAGGATCAAAGCCTGTGTTGACAGAATACCAAATATATTAGGAGCACATTCATTTATAATTTTGAATAAACTCCAAAGCACAATGACTAAGTGTGTATTTTTTATTTTAATTGTTTGTCAGCTCGCACAACTGTCTGTCACCATGCCTTGATGAGTATTGATTATTAATAATGTTATTATAATACTCCCAATCAACTACTGCAGAGGTAAAGGTACTGTTATTTCACCCTTTTTTAATTTCGTTGAGGTTGTGTTCCCACATCGTTAGCTAGTTTGGATCGCTATAACTTGAATGACCGTCAACTGTTGAATCAACGAGTGTGAAGTATGACAAGTCGCGCTTTGTTTACTTCCAACCGGAAGACGCGCCCACTTCTGACGCAAGGCCTCATGGGGCGTAGGAAACTTGTGGAAATGTCCCGAGTGTGAGGGGGTGAATTTTTTTCTAACTCGTTAGAATCGTATTTAGAAATAAAATGTATGCCATATAAGGGCGTGGTTAGCTTTGATTGACAGCTGATAACGGGCTGCACCGAGTAGACATAAGACATCATACCACCTCTGTATCCTCTCTGGACATTTGTATCGAAATATCCTACATAAATGGGTTGCTCTGCTATAAACGGCACTAACCGACACTGTAGGAGTACATCGGGACATTTTTTCCAGCCAGTGTTATTCCACTTCTATTCTTCACGTAGTTAGCACTATTTAGCATGAATGTTTGTGGGCAGTGGCACTGCAACAGTTAGCATTAAATCGCCTCAGATAAGTTACTTTAACTGATGTTTGAAACGCCAATGTAATATGTCCCACAGTGC